TGTTTAATTATTCGTATTTCGATTGTTCGTCAGTTCTCATGAATGCATAGTTACGTATCCGTTTTAAATTGAAAAGTTTTTGAGTACTTGAAAATATTTCAGTTAAAGGGTATGGACGAAAAGACGAAGCTGGCACAAGCCGAGCAGGTGAAGAAGTTTGCCTTTTTCGGCGTCGCCGTTTCGACTGTCGCCACCCTTACGGCTATTGTAGCGATACCCATGCTGTGCATGTACATGCAGAACGTGCAGTCTGGGCTCCAAGACGAGATCAACTTCTGCCGAACGAGAGCAGTGTCATTGCGTGGCGAATATGTTAAGGTAGAGACGGTCATTTCCCCATTCACCAATCTGTTTTTATAATCAAACAACTTCATTTCAGCTCGAATCAGAAACGAAAACCGAAAGTCGTGGGAAGCGTCAGACGTACCAATGCTGTTCTTGTGGAATGGGGCCGGCAGGTCCTGTGGGAAATCCAGGACAGGATGGCGCTCCAGGGAATGACGGCCGACCAGGAGCTCCAGGTACACCCGGACCGGATGCACCGAACGATTACGTTGCTCCTCGACCAGAAGACTTCTGCTTCGAGTGCCCACCAGGACCTGCAGGAGCCCCCGGACAGCCCGGACCCAAAGGTCCTCCAGGAAATCCTGGTATACCCGGTGAGCAAGGACCACACGGTCGACCGGGTCCTAGCGGTGCTCCAGGACCACAAGGTCCAATCGGAGAGCCTGGAGCTGACGGTCTTCCTGGAAAACCTGGTGCGCCTGGACAAATACGTGCCGTGCCCTCACCACCAGGACCGCCCGGAATGCCAGGAGAACAAGGACCACCAGGACCACCAGGAGAAGATGGTCGTCCGGGAAATCCAGGTCAGGCTGGTCCTCCTGGCCCACAAGGAGACGCCGGACAAGATGGAGCTCCTGGAAATCCGGGTGCACCTGGGGAACCTGGACCACCAGGAATGGACGGAAGCAAAGGTTGGTAGAGCTATATTTTTGTTAGTCATTCAGGAAATAAGTGGTGCGGTCACCATCTCATTTGGGCACAACTGGGCTTGAGCTAGTTAATTTGTCAACGACAATTTTGAAAAACGTCTCTAGAAATTCGGCGGGTATGAGTTTTTAGAGGACAGGGGTGTTAAACGCCACCTCCATACACTTTGCATACCAAAGTCGTCAAATATGAGCATAGCTTCAAGCAACTGTGTCCTGGAAGCTACCAATTAGCTGCATAGGCCCCGTTGTATTGGGAGGGGGCAAGGGCGGGTGGACAGGACCTGTGGTGAAATTTATTGAGCGACATTGAATGATAGATTCGGAAAGGTCCCCCTTCTTAGTGAATAGCCTATCCAAAATTCTGCGATTTCTATTCACTGGGATTAATCAATATAAAATCGCTCATCTTGGGTATCGCAAGCCGTCAATGTTTTTGATCAGACAACCTCATTAAATGATTGAAATGCAGACCGGAGAAGAATGAAACAGAGACGAAAGCTCACCCGAGAAACTGGGTTGCAAAGCCCAAGACTGCAAAAAAACCACATCCAACACCGGCTAGAGTCCCCATTCCGAAACCCGTCGAGACGGATTCATTCCGAAAACGATTTCGATGTGAGATAGGGACTTTGGTACTTTTCCATGACAAACTAGTGAATATATACAATAGGTATGAAGACCTCGAAAAAAGTAACCAGTATAGCCCATAGGCTCTTCACCAAATTGACCAAAAATACAGTAGACTAAATTGAACTTTACAGGTGGATGCGATCACTGCCCTATTCCTCGCACGGCTCCTGGTTATTAAAATTGCTCGTGTACATAATTTATACAATAATATGTTGCACAATGATGTGGCGAGTTGCAATAAATATTTGCTGATTCCCACTTTTCAGGATTGAAGAGTTTTATTAGCCACAAGCATTTTTTCTGCATGCAGTCCTACTAGGGAGGGGCATAGTGAAGTAAAGGTGGAGTTGTTCTTCGTCCTACTCACGAGCCCTACCATGAGCATTGCTGCCTTGGTGTAGAATAGTGAACAATCTATAACAAAGTGAATAAAAGTTATTTCGGCTTGTTCGGAAATTCTCTCGGCTGTCCAAAAAGCACTACTCAATGCTACTGCCTAGACAGGTAGGTGTAGGTATAGGGAGGTGGTAGATCAGTTTACTAGGTATAAGGGTAGGTCAGTTAACCGCCAAGCCCTGCCCATTAATTTATCTCAAAACGAATGATGTGCCAGTACCTCAGCAAATACCCATTCTGTACGTGTTCCATGGTGATTGAGAACGAGATTCCCACCCGAGTGCAACTTTAAGTTCGCAGAAATCTACAGAGGAAAACGCTAACCCATTCCTATAGCTAGTTCTCCTTTTTAACATTGGAGTGAGAAAATGAGAACCAGCAGATCGCCCTACGGGCTAAAAGTTCTTTTGGAATTCTGTGTACTGCTTTCTCAACGGGATGTGATTCAGTGTATCCTCATATTAAGCGAGTTTTTCGATTCTAAACGATTTTTCGGCTCTAGGCGAAGGCACTTGAATGGAATGAAATTATCGCTGCTTTTCGATTTTTCTCTCTTCTCCACCAATCTTCCACTTTTTTGAATTCCCCGATCATTTAGGTGGACAAGAGCGGTGATGGAAAGCGCTGATCACTTCAAGAAGCGATTTAACGGAAGAACGCTGCGCAGGAAACACAAAAGGTGAACGGAGCATTAGACACAACCTGATAGATGACGTCGTACAGGGATAGTGCGTGCAACATTGCGAGTGCACTTACCTCGCAGACCGACGCCAAGGTCATTCGAAACACTATGGGTTTTTCAGTGTTCCTGTAAAGGAACCACACGGGATTATTGAATAGTGCTTCGCGACTGCACCTCTAATATAGGTGGGATATACCAAAATAGTTAGAAAAATCTTCGTAACTCACATTCTTAAGAGAATCAAGTCATCATTTGACAAGATATTATAAATAACTACGGATCAAACCCCTATGTATGTTTTGAAGAAAGTCATATCTTCATTTTAGCTATTCGGTTCTCTCATAACTCCTGGCCGATTTTTGTTCAAATTCAATTATCTTCATGTCAAATTAGCTTCACCATCATGAAATAAGTTGATATGTTGAATCAGGACCTTCAGCCAGGATGTTTCAGAAGCTCAAATGCGCAACGGGATAATTAAGTAGGAATCAAAATAGATCAACGACCAAACCCAACGATTATGCCTTACGACAATTTTAAGAAGAACCTTGCAAGGAGCGCGGTAGGCAAGATCAGCGCTACGTTTGCCCCAGTCTTTGCTACTGATCGGGCACTGAGCTATTGGCTCAATAGCATCGGCAAAGGCGATAGGAGCTGCAAAGTTCGACCTCATCATAGGACCTCCAGATCACTTTCGATGAGGACCTCTTGCGCTACGAATCGGAAGTGCATCAGGACATTATTGTCAGGAACTTATCAAACATCTGGACTAAGCTTATCCTTCATGAATCGCTGCCTGGCAGTAAGGGGTAGTGCAATAGAGTCTCGGAATTAACCGACTGACTATTACTGAGAAGCACGCCTAACCATCTGCAGAAGTTTCATCTGCGACCGTATAGAC